GGAATTTCATTTATCATGGTAGGGTCTAGAACCGATTAACCGCAATAAACGAGGGTTCACTGTACATACATACATAAGGAAGACCAAAGAAATATTGATGCATCTGGTTTTTTTATGGTGCTGGAGAAGAATATTGAAAGTACCATGGACTGTGAAAAGGACAAACTGACCTGTACTGGAAGAAGTAAGGCCAGAGTGCTCCTTGGAGCCAAGGCTGGCAAGACTTGGTCCTGCATACTTTGGACATGTTCTCAGGAGATACAAATCCCTGGAGAAGGAGCTCATCTTGGTAAAGCGGAGAGCAGTGAAAGAGAGGAAGGCCGTCAATGAGATGAACTGACGCAATGGCTTCAACAACGGGCTCGGGCACAGGAACAATTATAAGGACAGTGTAGGATTGTTCAGTGTTTCTCTCTGTTGTATTTAGGGGCTTTATGGCTTGTAGGTGACTTGATGGCATCTAACAACATTGAGTTGCATTCCATGCTCCCTGAGAAATGTCTCTGGTGCCAGTCATTTTATCTTGGCTTATTTGTCTCCTTTAATGAATGGTCCTGAGCTCAGGTACACACCCACTCTGCTCTTTGTCCCTACCTGGAGTCACTTCCAAGCTAAGCGCAGGCATTCCCTCTGTAAGTTCACCTAAAATGACCCCAAACAACACTCAAACAGTTTTTTCCTAGATGATTCTAACATACATTATGAAAACTACAGCCCTGCTTTAGCTTCTAACAAAACTCTATCTATTGTGCTTTCTAGAAATCTGTCAATATCTCATTCATCCTATTGTTTTATGCATCTGCACCCATAAGCGGGCACCTGAGGTCCTGATGCTTGTCTGGACTAGAAAGCTTAGCTGAATCTTCCAAGAACAGAGTGGGAGAGACCAGAATCCAGACTTGGGCTGCTTCATGGAGCAGGAGAAAATCTCCGAAGCTAACGTCATAGGTCAAAGTGCTACAATCCATGAGATTATCTGGTGGGGATGAACTTCGAAAGTGGTGCTGTTTAAGAAATTGGGAATGAATTGTGTATGTATAGAGAATTTCATAAAAAGATCCCTGTTACTGAAGAAACAAATAGGCACTCCAGTTGAGCTTTTCCCTGCTCCTCAAACAGGAACTACTATGTTTGTCAGAGTTCCCGACCTTTCTCATTACCAGAAATTAAAATTTAACTAGCTTACTAAGCTGAAATTGCAAGGACAGGGAAACGTGGACTTAGAGTTGCAAGAAGAGTTACTCTCCTGAGTCCTAAATTCGCCTGCATTTTTTTTTTCTTGTTCGCCTCACTTTCGAAAGCCGGAAAATCCCACAAAGGAACATAGACCTGTAAAGAATTAGAATTCCCAGCAAGTAAGTGCATGGCTTTGTACTTAATCAAATTATTATTGTTGGAAATGATACCAGTTGTACTTTGAATCTCAAGTCCCTTATTACTGTAGTTTGACTTAAAAGTTAACTCATTTTAGGAATGGAGATTATTATAGGCAACAGGCTTTCTCTTATGCTGAAGACTGGAAATGCTTTTGGGTTTGTGGAATCTGGACACTTGGTGCCTTCACACACTACACACAATCAACCCTGAACCTCATGTTCAATAAGATGCCGGGGATGATTTCATGATAGGGCTCTGTAGCTAAGGTAGGACAGAAGTGAATTCAACTTCCTGAAATACTTATTCTGTGGATTTGGGGACTTCATTTCTTCCCCTATAAAAGAGGATTTTAGTAGTACTTAGCAAGGACCCCTGGCGGTGTTCCATGCTGGGCTGCTAACTACAAGGTCAGCAGCTAAGAACCACCAGCTGCTTCCTGGGGAAAAGAGGAGGCATTCTACTCCTGTAAAGATTTACAGTCTCAGAAACCCACAGGGGCAATTCTACTCTGTCATGTAAGGTCACGATGAATGAAAATTGACTCAATGCCAGGGAATTGAGGAAGGAGCCCTGGCAGTGCAATGGTTAAGTACTCTGCAGCTAACAGAAAGGTCAGCTGTTTGAACCCACCCAATGGCTCTTTGAGAGACAGACCTGGCAATCTGCTCCCGTGAAGATGACAGCCTAGAAAGTTCTATGGGGGCAGCTCTACTCTGTCACGTAGGGTTACGATTAGTCACATCTATGAGGGCACGTGACAATAACAACTTTGCCAGGTCATTGTGAGTGTTAAGTTAGATAACATGTGGGCAATACTCAGCACATGGAAGATGATCAATGTATATTACTTCCTCCGTTTAACTCTGATAAAAGTTGCCTCTCTCTGGAGTGTGATCTCCTTTTGGCAGCTTGTACCATCTACTTAGAAATAAATCTAGTGGGCATGAAGGTTGTGAGATATGAGGTGGTACCCCCCTACCCCCTGCAAAAATAACCCCTGTATATTTTCCCCAAAGCTATGTATTTAATTTTTTCCCACAAAACAACCTATCACCTTCAAAATACTCTCCATTACACTAAATACATTTGTCAAATCTGTGACTCCACTCTTGGAAACATTTTTCAAACTCATCTGTTTGGAAGGCTGACAACACCTCCCCAGATTTCTCCCTTCACCTCTTCTACATCGCCAAAGCGCAGTCCTTTCATGTCCCTGTTCATTCGCAGAAACAAAAAGAAGTCACATGGAGTGAGTCAGGTGTGTAAAGTGCATGGGACAAGAGAGACATGCTGTTTTTTGCCCAAAACTAGCACACTAAGATGGCTGTGTGAGCGAGTGTATTGTTGTGGTGGCAAAATCAGCCCCCCATCTGCCACAAATCAGGCCGTTTTTTGTCGCACACTGTTAGGCTATCTTTTCAGAACCCCTAAATAGAAAGCTTGATTCGCAGTCTGACCTGGTGGAATGAACTCCAAATGCACCACGAGTCGACATTTTCATCTGTTTGGGAAGTTTACAGACATCCAGAATGAGGTTTGTCATCAATTTACATTTCACCTCTTTTGAAATGAGAAAACCACTCATACACTTGAGTTTTTCCCATAGCTTTGTTCTTGTAAGCTGAGGTCAACATCACAACAATTTCTCTGGTATTATTCCCGAGCAGGAAACAAAATTTCACAGCCATACTCTGTTCTCTTCAATCGACCATCACAAAAAATGAGGTTTGAGCAAAACTGCTTTCACGAAAAAAATTCGCTGTGACCAGAGAGAACCTTCCCAGGTGACGCCACGCCACGGGGTGCACAAACTCACAGTGAATTGCTGCATGCTTGCTTAGCGGAGGGATGTGCGTACAATGACAGCTCCACTCAGCAGAGCTTTTTTCTGGATTTTTTTAGGGGTACCCCCTTGTGTATGGAAAGTTGAAAGATTTCCCTGTCAACTTGTAATACTGATTCCAATCCTCACCATAAGATAAAATTCTTGAGGAGAAACCATTACCTCTTTGTTGAACTTGAATTGAAATAAGAACTTCTGAATGTTACTCTATGAGGCTCTTCCTATAAGGGACTCATATCCTTTACCTCTAATCGTATTCCCATTTCACAAATGGGAAAACTGAGACCAAAAGGTGAGGAACATGCCACAAGGCCTCCCAGATTAAGACCAGTTGCTATCAAGTGGATTCCTCAAGTGTGTCAAAGAAGATCTATGTTTCATAGAGTTTTCAATGGCTGACTTTTATGAAGTAGATCGCCAGTTCTTTCTCCCGCGGAACCGCCAGCCTTTTGGTTAACAGCTGGACATGGGAACCACCCAGAGACTCCACTTCAAGGTTAGGAGAGATGCTATTAGAACTAAAATTGCTCTTACTTGACAATCCATCACCTCTTGCTGGCTCATGCAGGGAAAGGGATACATTTTAAAGTCACCATTATGCTCTAGCCTCTATACTAAGCACCACATGAAGTGTTTATACAACCATTTTGGAGCTCTGGGAGTAGGGCCCAGAGGGATGAGACAGGGAGTGTGGTAAACAGGAAGGGTATGTGAACGTTGGGAGGCAGGAAATATCAGAGTGAAGAAAGGAACTGGCTGTACCTAGGGTAGAAACTGAGGGTTGCAGGGGGTCTTGCCCTCTGGGTAAGATGACACAGAAGCAAGGAGGAGCTGACCTCATCTCCCATACTGATCTCCCCATGCAGTGCCCTGAAGGACTCTATTGCTTTTGATAACGAATTCTCTCATTTGAGCTCTTGGATCCATTCACCCAGGAGGGCATCTGCTCTGGAGAAATAAATGCCTTTTGAATTGTCCTTAGTAAGCCTGGAGACCCGGTTCATTGGGTTCACATTTGGTGCCCTTTTTGCTGGTAGTTAGTCATTCAGAGTTCATTCAAGCTTGATCCTTCAAGAATAACTGCTGCATGCACTACTGAGGAAAACAGGCAGAAGGTTAACCATTCCACACGGACATTTGAGTAAATAATGGACTTGTTCATTTCTCCTCACAGTTGTATCAATATTTGCATGATGTATTTATGGCTCTTCTGTTGGCTTATATATATTTAGACTTTCTTTATGTTCTTGCTGGACTAATTCTATGGAATAGTATGCTTTAATTTGCTTTTCTAATTCTATGGAATAGTGAGTTAATTCTGAACGAATTAACGAATGTGGCCATGTGGACGATTAAAGTTCTCCCTGTCTTCCTCAGCAGTACCTGTCCCAGATATTCCTGAAGCCTTGCCTTCCCTTAGAGACAGATGGGTCGATGCTCAGGGAAAGCCTCCTATACAAATGGGTAGTTTTCTTTACACATTGTTTAGTAACTCTTTAAAGGTATAGCTTATCATTTAGGCTTTAAGCACTATGTTAGCATGTCATCCAGGGAGGTGCTGAGAGGACATGCATCTAGAGGACATCTGTAAGGACTTCTTCATGACTCACTTTCACCCTCAGGAACTCAATGAGCAAAATTATACAAACTGTTGGAAAGAACCAAGGGAGGAAAAATAGTCTCAAGATCAGGCTCTGGGACAATAGGATCTGATAGTTAAACTAATGAGAGTACGCTTAAGAAGGAAAATTATCATTTTATTCATGAGACTTAAAAATTCCATACAAAATATGAATACACCATACTTTTATCCAATAAATAATGTTTAGTTATGAAACATTTCATTGATGCCATCCATCATACTAACAATTGAGAGGAAGAAAACCATCTGATTTACACTTGATATGCAGAAAAACATTAAAAAATTTAAATTATGTTAATTATTAAAGAATTCTCAATAAAACCTTAAAGCAAACATCATTCTCAGAGTGAAATGTCAAAAGTGTTCCTTTTCAAATTCACGATGGTAACAATATTTAGTGCTTATATTAATAATGTCCTGACAGCTCTAAAAAAGCACTATCTGTAAAATAAAGCAAGACATAAGGTCAGTTCAGATTTTTAGTAGCCACATTAAATAAGTAAAGAGCACTTTACCTACTTAAATATAACAAAAAATACCTTAGGTGATATAACAGCTAAAGCAAACAACTACGGTTAAGTTGTATTTAGCAGGGAACATTTTTTTTCTTGCTTGCTTTTAAATTTAAATGTATTAAAATTAAATGAAACTAAGCAGTTTCTCAGTTGCATTTCCAACATGTCAGGTGTTTGCTAGTCATGTGTGCCTCCTGCCTTCCACATAGGACAGCCTCGTTTTACATCATATAAAAAGGCCTGAAAGTAAAAGCACTTGACACAGCATTTCCACAATTCACCGATTATATAATTGTTTATGTTGCAATCCAGATTAATTCACAATCACATGATTAAAACGTTTAATAGAATGTATGCGTCATAAGGTGGTAAGGAAAAGAATCTGCATATAAAAACCAAACGTAATTCTACACTGTAACATAATTACCTGTGTGATTACTAATGAAGGCCCTCTTTTCATGAGTACTTATGACCTATTTGAATTTTCAGTTCTGTCAAGTATTCGTGTTCCTATTGAGTTCTTTTTGCATTAAAAAGATCTTTTTATATTTTGATCCTAATGCTTCATTCAGGAATCTTGATGGCACTGTCAGGTAAATGGATTGCTAACCACAAGGTCAGTGGTTCAAACCCATCAGTCACTTCATGGGAGAAAGATGAGACTGTATCTGCTCTGGCAAACATTTAAAGCCTGGAAATTGCTCAGCGAGTTTGCCTGTATAACCCTTAATTAGTAATTAAGAGCTAATCACTTTTTTAATAGCATCCAACCCCAGAGCATGTGTATCAGAGGGTTCAGGCCCACTCGGTACCTATTCTTCCTGCTCATGGCACCTGATGGTGAGGGAGGAGACACCTCTAGAGGAAGCTGAGCCCGGTCTACTCTCCCTGCTGGAGTCTTGAACCCACTGACACCTGGCCTCTGTTCCCACAGCTGCATGACCATCCTCCCCAGAAAGGTCCAGTGAGTTTCCTCAT